TAAAATTTTAAATTCCGCTGTAAACTCTGTTCCGTACGGTATATCGAACACAACAGTCAGGTCACCCTCAGCACCGGCACTGAAAAAGGAACTAAGGAAGTAGGGTTGAAGAGCATCGAGAGAGTTTGGCGTGGTGGAGGCCAAATCTTTGCAGTGGTAGTCGAGAACATAGGAGCGCACCTGGATCGTGACGAACAACAGCAAGGAGACGTACGCAAGCTTCTCGAGGAGTTTGAAGGGGTACTGGGCGAGCCTAAAGGGCTACCACCGCACCGGGAGTTCGATCATCGCATACCATTGGTCAATGAACAGCATGCCATACATGTCCACCCTTATAGGTACGCTCACTTTCAGAAAACCGAGATCGAACGGCAGGTTGCGGAGATGCTAGAGTCAGGACTAATCCAGCACAGCAAAAGTCTGTTTTCTTCTCCTGTACTGTTAGCTAAAAAGAAAGACGGCACGTGAAGGTTCTGTACTGACTACCGAGCCCTAACCGCTGCAACCATCAAGGACCGATTTCCCATTCCAAGTGTCGATGACATGCTTGATAAGTTAGCCGGGTCACGATATTTCTCTAAACTCGATCTACGAGCTGGATACCATCAGATTCGACTCCACAAAGCCGACGTTCCCAAGACGGCCTTTCGTACACACCAGGGACACTATGAGTATCTTGTCATGCCATTCGGATTATGCAACGCCCCATCCACTTTTCAGTTCGCCATGAATTCTATCTTCAAGGAATATCTGCGTAAGTTCGTTTTGGTATTCTTTGATGATATCCTGATCTACTCGAAGTCATGGGGCGAACATCTTGGGCATCTAAGAATAGTTCTCGAAATTTTGGAGGCCAACTCATTCCACATCAAACCATCTAAATGTTCATTCGGGCAGGAGATGGTTGAATATCTTGGTCATTTCATATCTCATGACGGTGTGACGGTCGACCCGCGAAAGATTGAGGCTATGGTCGATTGGCCTAAGCCAACAAGTCTCACGCAGTTGAGAGGATTTCTGGGGCTCACAGGCTACTACCGAAAGTTCGTAAAGGATTATGGGACCATCGCCAAGCCACTGACAGCAATGACTAAGAAGGGTGGGTTCACATGGACCGAAGCTAGCGAAGAGGCGTTTGGAAAATTAAAAGAGGCTATGACGACAACGCCAGTACTCGCCATGCCCAGATTTGATGTCTTGTTCGAGGTACACACCGATGCGAGTGACATTGGAATTGGAGCTGTGCTAGTGCAAGAGGGGCGACCCCTAGCCTATCTCAGCAAGGCACTGGGCACTACTCGGTTAGGTCTGTCAGTGTACGTGAAAGAGATGCTAGCGGTTGTCGAGGTTGTACGGTGCTGGAGGCCTTATCTATTAGGTCGACGTTTTCAGATTGTTACCGACCAGCAACCGCTCAAGCACCTGTTGGAGCAAAGGATTGTTACCCCCGAGCAACAGAAGTTCGTATCCAAACTCATGGGGTTTGACTTCGAGATAATCTATCGACCAGGTCGACAGAACGCAGTAGCCGACGCACTGTCCCGACGGACAGATGTGGCCGAATTAAGTGTTATCACTGGGCCTACTTGGGCCATTTGGGAAGAGATCAGGAAGGCGCAAGTAGAGGATACCCATTGCCAGGAGCTGCGCCAATCAATAGAAGCTGGTAAGACGACCGCTATCGATTACGAGTTGCATAACGGTCTGCTACTACACCGAGGTCGAGTCTATGTCCCCGACAGTGGGCAGTTGCGCGAGCAGATATTGCAGCACTTCCATGACTCTAAGGTTGGAGGCCACTCGGGTATCTATCGCACATGGATGAGAATAGCCAACACTTTCTTCTAGCCGGGACAGCAAGGTACCGTCCGAGACTACATCGCGCGATGCGACGATTGTCAACGTACTAAGTCTGACTCGCGACGGCCAAGTGGGCTGTTGCAACCACTACCAGTACCCGAGGCAATTTGGGAAGACATCACCATGGATTTCGTCGAGGGGCTACCAAATTCTAATGGATTTGACGGTGTTATGGTTGTGGTGGATCGTCTCACCAAGTATGCTCACTTCATACCCATTACCCATCCTTACACCGCGAAGTCAATTGCTAGGTTATTCGTGGAGTACGTAATGAAACTGCATGGAGCACCTCGATCCATCGTCTCAGATCGGGACCGGATTTTTATGAGCAGCTTTTGGTCTGAATTCTTCAAGTTGCAAGGGACTAAATTGTCTATGAGCTCAGCCTACCATCCACAGACAGACGGACAAACGGAGGTAACCAACCGAACCCTTGAGCAGTATTTGAGGTGCTACGTCCATCAATTCCCAAAGCGGTGGGAAAACTTTTTACCATGGGCTGAGTATTGGTACAACACCACTTACCACGAGTCGACCAAGATAACGCCATTCGAGTTGGTCTATGGGCGAAGACCCCCAGCATTGATCAATTATTCAGAGGAGAGTACAGTTAACGATGAGGTTGGTCGAGAACTAGAGGAACGAGATTTGATGTTACGTGAGCTGAAAAGAAATCTCGAAGGCTCAATCAATCGAACCAAAGCCTTCACAGATGGGAAAAGGCGAGAGGAAAATTTTGTACCCGGAGAATACGTCTATCTTAAGCTACGACCATTCAGACAACGCACAACAGCACAGAGGGCCGCAACTAAGCTGGGCGTCTGTTATTATGGGCCATATCAAATTCTGAAACGCATTGGTCAGGTGGCTTATCGTCTGGAGCTACCAGGAAGTTCGCAGATCCACCCGGTTATACATGTTTCACAGCTCAAAAGAAGTCTGGGAGAAGCACAAACGTATTATGAGGAGCTACCAGCAACTGCAACCGATGGAAGGGCCAT